GCGAGAAGGTCTTATAACAGATATGGAGACACTGCTAATGACATGGATTGAGGACCAACAACAAAAGAGATTCCTTCTCAGCACATTGTCTGTCATTGCTAAGGCACAAAGGTTGTTTGATATGTTTAAAGAAAAAGCAGGACTAGACTACAATATGTTCATACAATGTCCAAACTATATAACATGCTATTTTACAGAATGTATCATGGACATTAAGTAGTGCATGACTGTAATTGTTTTAGTAATGAGAAATATGATAGGAACCCAGGAAAAGAACTACTAAGGAATAAATGGTTTTTAAATGGTTAAATGGTGTACATTCCTAGTGAAACAGTTTTTGCCTATTTGGTTGTAGTCATGAAGATTTGATCATATAAAGTATATGGAATTGGAGAATTACTTAATTCATTTACTCATTCACTCAGTCATTCAACAAGTATTTTTGAGGGCCTAACATATTCCAACTTTATCATTAAGTTTATGGAAATATCCATGGGAAAATAGGAAAAGAAAATCCTTGCACTTAATCCCAGTAGAAGTAGATGAATAAAACTCCAACTGAATAGATATATTACACACTACTTTGGAAGATGCTAAATGCCATTGATATAGAGCAGGGAAGAGGAATCAGGAGCATAGCTAGCGGGTGTAGGACTGGTGGTTGCAAATTTTATTACATGATTTGGGAAGGTCTTGCCATAAAGATGATATTTGTGCAAAACTTAAAGAAGTTTATTAGGGCATATGGATTTTGGCATATTTTGGGGAACAGGATTCATGACAGTTGGAACACAAAAGCTAGAATAGCTCAAACACTGAGGGATGTGGTGTAGGTGAGGTGAGAGGTAATGGGGTTGGAGAATGACAGCTCACACTAGCTCTTATAGACATTTACCCTGAGAAAAATAGGAAGTTAAGCTTTTTGGGGTGTGATTTTTGAGTACAGGGATAAATGATTTAATTATGTTTTAATAACATTAGACATAATGTTATTAAAATGTCTTCTTTACTAATGGACACTATACTTAATATATTGTTTAAAAATTTTACTTTCTTGCTTTCTAAAAAAATGCACCAAACAAAACCAAACTGTGCCATAGAGTCAATTCCAACTCATAGCAACTCTACAGGATTCCCAAGGCTCAAATCTTCATGGAAGCAGACTGCCTCATCTTCTCCCACAGAGAGGCTGGTGGCTTCAAACTGCCAATCTTTTAGGTAGCAGCCAACTGCTTTAATCCCTCTGCCACCAGGCTTCTTAAAAAAATACACAGAGGATTTTCTTCCTTAGTATATAAGTTTATTGTTTTTGTTAAATGGCATAGACTATTCTGACTCATAGTGACCCTATAGGACAGAGTAGAACTTCCCCATAGAGTTACTTTTCTGTAATCTTTATAAAAGCAGATTGCCAGTTCTTTTCTTCTGTGGAGTGGCTGCTCACTTTGAACCCCGACCTTTCAGTTAACAGCAGAGTGCCACTTATTATGCCATTCACTCTAACTCACTGCCATTGAGTTGATTTCAACTCATAGAGAGAAAATCTTCATATAAGATCTTCGATTTGCAAATTCTGATACATTTTAACAACTCTAAAATATGATTTACCAGATTGCAAATTGTGGAGACATGCTTAAAAGAAAAAAAAAAAAAAAAAGGCCTGAGTATCTTTTTTATAATGCCTACCACAAGAAGTATTTCTGATTGCTCAAGTGTTCTTATATGGATATAAAACTCCTTGCTTGACTGTGCACAAGTTGTCTGCAGCTCTGAATCTTGCAAAATGTTGAGATTAACCAACAGAATCATTTTAAAGGGAATGTATTGGACAATTAAGCTTGCAACAGCACCCAGAGTGAAAAAAATTATTCACTCAGAAGCTTTTATTGTTTTAAACACTTCATGAAATCTGAACTGCATTGATTTCTCTGTTTCATTTAAACTGAAGATGTAACTCAAAAGAGGTATTTTACAATCGTGAGATCTTATTATTAAAATTTAATGCAAAAATTTTTGCAAGGATGTCATTTATTGGGTAAGTAACTTTATGCAAGATACCTAGCTCAGTCTCTGGTACATAGTTGGTTTATAAACGGTCTTTCTTCCATTGTTTTAAAAGAAGTATCGACTTCAAGTTGCTCTGTTTATTTATACACATTGCAATAAAGTATACTCTCCATTTAGTCGAAACTAGCATCTCTGATAATTAAGAATATTTATAATCATTACTTATAATCAATAATATACTTATTATATTTTCTAAAATTATTAAACTATGATAACATATACAAACTTAATTAAATTTATATAAAAAGCAATAATAAACAATAAGAATGTTATAGGTTAAATGCAATTGGCTCAATGCAACATGTCAACAACACTTGGGGATATATTCCTATTTTGGAATCAGAGTTTCTTTCTAATGTTAATGAGGTCATATCAGTGTAGAGTGTCTTACACCTAATCACTTTTGAGTGATATGAAGACCAGCATAGACACAGAGACAAGCAAACACAACAGGGTAAAGACACCACTTGGAGATTGCCAAGGAATCCAGGAACACCAAGGGTAGAGAAAGGGACAAGAATTTTCTCCCAAGGCAGACAGAGACTAAATCTTTTCCTAGAGCCATTGCCTTAATTTTGGATTTCTAGCCTCATGAACTTGGAGAAAATTAACTTCTGTTCTTGGGGGGAAAAAAAAAAAGACCTCCATATTATACAATAGGACTGAATGAGTCAATGCATATTTCATAATTTCTCTCCTTCAGAATATTGGATAATATTATATACATATACATATACAGGAGCTCTGGTGGTGTAGTGCTTATGGCATTTGACTGCTAACCAGAAGGCTGGTGGTTCAAACCCACCAGCCACTCCTCAGAAGGAAGGTTGGGCAATCTATTTCTAGTGATACTACCTCAGAACTCCAAGGAGGGGTCGCTATGAATCAGATTTGACTCGATGGCAGAGAATGTTAGTGTTATGTGTGTGTGTATATATATATATATATAAAATATAAACCAAACTCACTGCTGTTGAGTTGATTTGACCCATAGTTCTATGAGTTTTTAGTTTTATATAAATATATTTATATACATATATACACATAGATACATAGATATGTATAT